CCTGACCATGAATTTCAGTGTCTTTTATAATTTCAACAGGCTGAGAATTTACAAAATTATGTACTGGTTCTTTGTGCGTAATAGTACTTTCCTCATTATAACTCTTAACTTTGATATTGTACTAGAGACAGCAATGAGGAATCTGGCCACATCTTCAACACTTTGAAAATCTTCTCAGTGAATATCCAAGTTCATTATGTACAAGTTCTGCATCCCATAAAATTGTAAGAATCAATGCTAAATGTTCTGTTACTATATAGCAAGAATCTTTCCTCCTTTGGTTTTGAGCCCTCACTGGGAACACAGCTCATGTCCATCCTTTTGCTAACAGTCCAGTCAAGGAAATCTAGGCATTTTTCTATCATGCTCCTTAAAATTCCTCCAATCTTTGTCTATTGTCCTATTTTATTTTTTTGTTTTGTTTTTTTGAGACAGGGTCTTGCTGTGTAGTTCAGGGTGGCCTCGAATTTGTGGCAACCCCCTTGCATCACCCTTCTGAGGGCTGGGATTACAGGCGTGAACCACCATGTCCAGCTATTGGCCTATTTTAAAGTTATGACATTTTTAAGTATTTGTCACAGCAGTTCCCAGAATTTTCAGTAGATTTCTATTACTCCTCTGGCAAACCACCACAAATTTAGTGGCTTAAAACAACAGAAATATGTTATCTTATAATTCAGGAGTTCAAATATCAGAAAAATGGTTGTTACACAGAACAACTACATGCCTTATGAAGGGTCTAGGAGAGAACCAGAGTTTGCCTTCTCCAGCTTCAGAAGACACCTGCACTGGACAGCTCATAATCCCTTCCAGCAAACACATCTCTCTGCCCCGAGTCCCCTTTCGGTCCACATCTCCATCGCTGAGCTCAGTTTGACTTTCTCTGTGTTTCCTTTTTAAAGAATTGTTGTGATTACATTGGGCCTACCTGGATAATCAAGGATAATCTCCTCATCTCATGGCCCTGAACTTTATCACCTTATAAAGCCCCTCCCCCTTACACTAAGGTAACATAAGCAAAGGTTCTGAGGATCAGGTTGTAGGCTTTTTGGCATGGAGGAGCCTTATTCTGCTTGTTTAGAAGGATCTGATGAGAGCAACCAAGATTTCCCCTAAATTAGCACTTCCTCAGAAGTTCATACTCTTTCACATCTAGTGGGCGATGGGTTTCTCCTCCCGTACCTCCAAAAGAATATGAAAATTCTCATTCCTGTAAGTCACAGCAAATGTCTCCTTCATTCTGACTTATGGGCTCAGAGGCTCTGAATTTATCACCTGATTGAAAGACAGCATATTTTGCATGAGTAAAGAGACTCAAGATCTACTTCTTAATTTTGTGGTTGAAAATATACAGGTGTGGAACCCTCACAGCATACTGTCACCAAAATAAAGAGATATCTGAGCAAAACAAGCAAACAGAAAATAAAACTATGTGTCAACTAAAATACCTCATTATTATCTATTAACCAGCTGCAATGATTATGTTGTATTCACATTTGCACTTTCTACATAGACAGAACATAGGCCAAATGTCTAACATAATAATTGGTTTTCTTAAATAAATCAGTGAATGCTGGATTTTCACATTGTTCTGTTCACCTAACTTGATGTATAGCATAGTCAAATTCATAGCTTAACACATTCCATTTGACTTGATGTTATTATTTTCACAAATAAATTTCTAAAATGCCTTTTTGAAAGTGACCAAAGTCAGATCGTGATAACAGGAGAATGGAAATAGATTAAGATAACTAACTTCTAAACTAAGATAGGACAAGAAATATAATTCCAGCATTGGAGCCCTAAAACAACTTACAGTAAACACTTTTAATTTAATATATCTTCTTAGGTTGATCTCAGAAAATCAATATTCCTGATACCTCTTTCCACACCCTCACATTCCCATAATTTAGGGTATGTATGGTTTTAAGAAATGAACATATTGATTAATTTGCCTTCAGAACTCAAAAGTGTGTCTGAATTATGTATGCTTTATCATCAGATTAAACATCAAAGGGTAACTCTCAATCCCAAATATTTAAACACTATGTGAAGAGCATTAATTATGCTAAACTGTTTCATATGGTCACTATTTTTTTTTCTCTCTTTGTTTCCCTTTCCTCCTAATGAGATGACTGAATGGGAAGTGTGCCTAACACTGTTTGCAAGGAGGCGTAAGGAAGTGCTGGGTCTCCCAAGTGTAAATCACTAAGCTTTAAATCAGAATATTAAATCTGTTTCCAAATAAAGCCTCAAAAATGAAGCTGAAGTTATCTAAGATGAAGGAGGGAGTATTGGGGAAGAGAGTGCAAGCTGTCAGTTGTAGAAACAAATGAGGAAGAGGAAGAGAACTCAGTGATACTTAGTAGAAGAACTTTGGTCAGTGGACAGATGGGCTGGACTACCCCATGTACAGGATGCAAAAACCACAGTGAGGGTAACTTGATCACTAGATTTTTTGTGTGACACTCAGTAGAGTACCTTCAAAAGGACTTATACAGGGCCAGGGATTTAGCTCAGTGGTTCCGCCACCTGCTTTGCAAGTACACGGTCCTGACTTTGATCCCAGGTACCAAAAAACCCACAAAAAACAAAAGGACTTCTACAACAGACATGGAACATTTTTGCTTTCTACCTTCCCACTCTTTGAGACATCTATTTCACTGATGTGGGGACCATAGAGTGTTATGACACCTTTAGGAAGATTGCAAGTCTTCCCTCATCCTTGTTTTTTTATCCAGTGGTTCTTCACACTATCTCAGTATGTGGGTAAGCTTCCACTCATTTTGTGTACCTAGTGAAAGCTAAAGATTTCCTCTGAAGGGTGAAAGAGACCATGTGCCCAGAAGCCAATCATTTTTTAAATAAAATTTCTAGATGTGCATGAGCTTCCTGAAGTTTGTCAGCCGTGATGTCCTTGAAAGATCTATGGACTCAGTTAAAAGCCTTAGTTCTGGACCACAGCCCTGAAACCTCGACCCTAGCTAATGGAAGTTTGAGTGTTTTGAGAAATTAGAGTCAACAGTTTCATTGCATTCTAAAGAATATCAGCACCAAACTCAGTCAAAAGATTTTGACTTAGTTAATGTTCACAGGTACACACTATTTTTTTCAGGGCAGAAAGGGACAGGCATGCCTAAGGGTCTAAAACACTGGTCCAGTTCTAGTATCACTGGAATTTTGCTAGTGGTGATTTTATTCCATCTCACCCATGCTCTCTCCCTTTTCAAATATGTATTCATACTTTATCATCTCATAACCTGGCAAACTTGATAGAATGACAAGGACGTATAAACAATGTAATACTGTGAGAAAAGAGAGGAAAGTGCAGCTGACTATCTTCTTAATACACAGACCCTTTACTAGAGTGGTACTTCTGTTTATCACCCTTCCTGGCCAAATTCATTGGTTTGCAAGTTCACTTATTCAGCAAAAATGTATTGGCCTTCCAAGTGTTCTGAGCCTTATCCTAGCATTTCTGAGGGGTGAAAAGATGAAAGACTTACAAGCTCTGCTCTCAAAGGGGCTTGATGTCTCCTAGTGGATGTAAGCTATGCAAAGAAATTCAGCTTAAAGCAGCTTCCTGAAAGGACTCTCTGTTCACACCCTGCTCTGAGTGTATGTGTGTGTGTGTGTGTGTATGTGTGTGTCCTCATACGCGTGCCGGTGTAGTTTCCCTCACTTCACGTCTAGAGACTGGAGAAGTTCATCTCTCTTCTCCCAGAACACCTCCTCATTACATGGACCATCATATTTCTTATGCTGTTTCATCATTACCCATTTATGCTTCTCTCGAAACTGATCAAAAATCCCACGAGGATTGAGACTTAGTCGTATTAAATCTCTTATCTATGTTTCCTAGGAGCCATCAGGGCACCAAGAACACAGTAAGCGCTTTGCAATATGTTAAATAAAGTATTAAATCCGGTCTAAAGAAGAGCTAACATAGAGGAAGTACTATGCCCGACCCAGTGAGGACTCTATGACGTCAGGAAGCAGTGGTCCAGCATCCCCCCACTCCGGGTTCCCGACTTTCACTTTTCTACCTGTCCTAGAAGCGAGTAGGATTAGGTGACTTTTTTTTCCAAATGAAAAATTATTGTTTAAATAATGCTGAGGGCAAGGAAGTAAATAAATGTCCTAGCCACCTGCCCTAGATTAAACACCCGCCTAGGTTTTACAATCAAATAAAAATAATTTCCTGACGGTTGAATGTCAAAAATGATTGCTGCCAAACCTCCAGAGGCTCCCAACGTTCTCAGGCTCCATTGACAAAAGTGACTTCCCACGCCTGGCCCACAGAGGGCATCCCTGCGCATGGATATGTAGACCGGGTGAAGGCAGCTGCTGGAAGCCTCTTCGGTCCGCTTTTTTTCCCCTAAGCCACGTCTCTCTCCCCCCACCCCTCTTTGCGTGGAATCCTTGCCTGATCCAGTTCGTTTCCCTCCGGTCTCCACATTTTCCCTTCCAGCCCTCCACTTGTCCGGATCAATGAATAGTACGGTTCCAACTCCCCGCTCACACACCGCTGGCGGACACCCCAGTAACAAGTGAGAGCTCTCCACCCCTCAGCCCCCGCCTTTCCGCCCTCGGCCCCCCCTAGCTCTTGGAAGCAAAACGAACAGCATCGCCAGCTCTCGCGCGGATTTTTCTCTTCAACTTTCCCCAACAGACGACATGGAACCAACCTCAACCTTTTAATGCACAACGCAGCCACTGGATTGCTTGCCGTCTCCTCTTAGTCCCTCCTGGATATTCTGTTTATTGATGACTCGCAAACCCCACGGAGAGCTGTCTTCCGTTCTCTTGCTCCCTCCGTTTCCTTGAGTTAGTTTCCCAAGGTTTTACTGGGGCTTGGGATCTCTTGGACCGAATGGAACTTTTTGCTGTCTCTTTTTGCTACTGATTGTGCCAGTGGACAAGGAAAAAGGCTTCCGAGGCAGAAGAGGCGCAGGGGAGGTGGAGAAAGAGGTGGAGGAAGAGGACGAGGAGGAGGAGGAGGAGGAAGCCGAAGGGGCTCGGTGCGTGTGTGTGCATGTGTGCATGCGTGTGTGAGTGTATGTGTCTGAGTGCCGCCGCTGCCCAGGACCCCTCGCCCCGAAGGTGTTGGCTGAAATATGGAGAATAGTCTTGGATGTGTTTGGGTACCCAAGCTGGCTTTTGTACTCTTCGGAGCTTCCCTGCTCAGCGCGCATCTTCAAGTCGCCGGTAAGAGGTTCTTTCCTTTCTTCTTGTCGCTCCCCCACCCCATTACCCCCTTCCCTTCTCGCTTCCTTTGGAGAGAGTAGAATTACGGTGGAGGGGAAATAAGATAGCCAGCTCCTCTCCCTCCCAGTCCCTGGTTTCCTCGTGGATGATAAAAGACCGAAGACTTTTTCCCCCTGGGGGCAGAGGATGTTGGTGGCAGGGGAGAGGAGCATCTTTTCGCTCTTTTGAAATCTAGTGCTTCTCAAATCTCTGCTTTTGGAAATAACTTGCATTGGTTTGGAGAGCGGGCGGGCCGGGGCAGGTGTTGGGGACTTTGTTGAAAGGAACTGGGTTGAAATCCTTAAAGCCTGAGGAACCTGCGAAGGGGAGGCGGATAGGGGCAACAGGAGCGAGCGGAGGCGGACATCGCAGGGGCTTTGAAGCAGTGTGTGCAAGATGCAGCTGGTGGGACTGAGACATTTATATGTGAGCAAAGCTCCTTCGGGGTTTGATTTTCGGATTTGCTGATGGAAAAATGGGAAGAGGACAGTTTATATGTTTTGGTACTTCGTAGAAGGGGACCGTGAAGAGTTGGCAGGAGGAGGGAGAAGTGTTTATTATTTTTTTTAATGATGAATGCACTTCACAAGCTGAGTCTTCAAATATCTCCAGAACGCTTCCAAACTCCAAATGATTGATATTCCGGGGAAGCAGTCCCCTGCTCCTGGGCCTTGGCAAGCGCAGTTTCTAATTAAAAATGGCAAAACTGGGGATTGGACTGGGCTAAATGAGGAGAAAGAGGGATAAGAAGGCTGCTCGGGGTGCTGCAGTCTCTGTATGCAGGCTTCCATGGCCAAAAGAAAGAAAAGAAAAGAAAAGAGCGAGCGAAGTGACTCCTTACAAGGTTTACTCGTTTTGCGGGACTTCGCCACTAGTAGACCGGCACTGGGGTAGAGGAGGCGGCCTGGTGGGAAGGAGAGGCGAGCCCGGCGCTGAGCATTCTAATCCCTTCGTAAAAGACCTTCCCCCAAATCCAAAGGAAAAGACGACGTCGGCAGGGACCACGTATTGGATAGGCGCGCCCCAACTTGCGTCTTGGAAATTAACAAGGTTTAGAATTAAATCGCAGCGGCCAAGTCCTGTCTCCCCAGAGTCCTAAGCTCCGGCTTTCTTGTCCCTGCTAAGTGCTACAAGGCCAAGGGCTGCGAACGCTAGCAGAGTACGCGCCCCTTCACGGTCGCCGCGGATTCGGTCAAACAAGCGGCCGGCCTGCCCCAGGCTTCCTAAAGCCTGGCGCAGCCAGACGCGGGCAGGAATCTTCCGAGGGCACACAGGCTGGACTCCTCGTCTTCGTCTGGCCAGACAGAGAGAGCGTGAGAGGTGTGTGCGTGTATGTCGTCTGTGTGTGCACGCGCACGCGCGTGTGGTACGCGCGTGTGGTGCGCGCGGCCCCGCATCCCCGCGCTCGGCGGCTCGGGGTCCCTCCTCCCTCTCGGGCCAGTTCCCTCCTCCCCAGTCCTCTTTCCCAGAGCTTTGTCCTGGGCGGTTACTCCAGCGGAAGGTGGGTGGGACCCGGGCGGGGGTGGGGGGATCCTAACTGTAAAGAATAGATAGGTGTTTTTTAAAAATTCCTTCCTTGTGACCCGCCGATGCTTAGACGCTGTGGCTAGGAGGACCGTCCTTCTCCACGGATTGACTTCCGCGCATTCTGATAGCTCGGCAGACTGAAGGGAGAAAGGAAGTTCAGAGGGGGCTTCCCTTGCTGGGTAGAAAGCCTGGAGAACCTTGAGAGACCCATGGCCCACAATGCTCTGGAGAAAATATTAGATTAAACAAGATATACAGAAACGGACAGTGATAGCAATTGAATGACAATTTTTTAAAAGCTGTTTCCCAAATGACTTCTGTCTGGCAAAGGCTGAGGGTAGGTGAATGGAGATGGATTTAATATATGCTTTATTAGCATCTAAATTAATTAAATGTCCAGAGTTAGGACCATTATTAGTGCTATATTTTAATTTCCTTCTCAAATTTTTCTCTTCATAGACAAATCTGTGCTTGAAAAAGCAGACGCAATACACATACACAGGAATATGCCCCTGGGTAGGCTTATGGATCTTCATCATTAAACTCTGCACTTCTAAATCCCTTCCTGTTATTTGCAAACAAATTGTTAGGCAGCTTGCATAGGTCTTAGGAAAGTGGATGGTGCACTTTTAACATATTGCTAATTCAGATCCCTCTATTCTTTTTTTGTTTTAATCTTAGTAGCAGTTTCCTCTTTGGGAACGTGGCAGGGAATTGATGATAAAGAAAGCATAGTTCACTCCAAGAAAGGGCCAGTAGGAGGTGCCCTTAATAAGGCCAAATGTCTAGTTTATGGGCAGTGAAGTCACGTTCAGCAGTGTTTTAAGGACCTTGTTGATTGGTAACAAAGGATTATGGAGATGAGCACAATAGCACTGGGCTCTTTGCTGCTTTCTAGATAAAGTCTGAAGCTGCTGTGGATCTGTATGAGCTTGTTGTGAAGTAACAAAGGACATCTCTGGTCATTGTCATCCTAGGGTAAGGACTTGATGCTGAGGGAGGAGGACTGTGGCCTTTTAGTTAACTCTTCTAAGATGCTGTCCTATGTATTTGACATGAGCCACAGGCGGAGGCATCAAGTAGCATCTCAGGATCTCTCAGTAAAATGAGACTTTTAGATGTTAATAACTGAAATAGGAAGTATACCATTAATGATTATTCACATGCTTTGATTACATTCTGTTGAAAGAAAATCAGTGAGAGTTTATGTAGTCTGGACATGGTAAAGAGAGGCTTGCTGCTTTCCCTAACCACCCCCCTTTCATTCCCCTAAGCAAAGCAGGTCAGATCGTCCATCTGGGTTTCCTCTTGAGTGGACAGAGCATGTGGCAGGACCTGAGGGCGCCTGGCCAGGCAGACATCCACTCCTCTGTGAGTGCTGCAGTGTAAATCATAGTGACTTGTCACAGAATCCATTTCTCACACAGCAGCAGCTGCCTCTGAGTTATGAAGCATGTGAAACGGCTACCACATGTGTTACATGTGAATATATTAGGCTTAGTGCATTTGCTTTAATGCTCTTAAAAGCTGGGCTGGCGTGAGCTGCTGATAGGCTTTTTTTTTTTCTGGCCAGAGATTTATAACTTCTCAGTGTATATGACTTACATTTTTCCCGTGGCAAGTTAATCTCTTAGCAAACTTCTTACTGTTTTCATTGAGGAGGAAGAGCTTTAATCCTCTAAGTTCCTGAATGGAGCTTTGTAAAAACTTGCTTCTGGAGCACAGAATGTTTGTAGGATGCATATGGGCTTCTAAGCCAGTAGGAAACTTGATAAGAGATTTGGGAAGATGAGTCATTTGAGGAGAGGGGATATTTTTACTTATTTCTAGAAAGGGAAGGGATGATACTGCAACTTCTAAGGGAATCCCAGCACCTGTTACCTCAAAGGCATCATTTCTGAGAGGAGGAATGATTTTCCGTTCCTGGCTTATTTTCTATTTGGTAGATCCTATAGTCTGGTATTCTTCAAATATATATGATTTGCTCCTGGGAATATTTCCAGCTGGACACAGTAGGGTCAGCAAATCTAGCATGATTCCTTTGGGAACCAACCTTGATTTAAATCTCAGTTTTCTCACCAAAACATTTTTTTTTAAATTTTTACCTGGTGCTCATGTTTAAAGGCAATGCTCAAGTTCTGAACCCATTATTTCCTTTGATGAGCCACTGTGCCTTAAGATTACATTTTATTTCCCTTGAGAATTTGCCATCCTAAACTTTGTCTAGGAATTTTTTTCCTCATGCTTCTATCAGCCAGGAGAACTGTATTAAAAAATAATGCAGTTGTCATCTTTCATCATTTTCTTAAGTTAAAATACCAACATATACATGTAAAGAATAGATATTTTCATTTTTCATTCTCTCTCCTCCAAAGAGTAACTTTTGGATGATTTATGATAGCATAATTATGTAAGAACACTGTGATTCCAGTAGTGAATGGGTTTTTCTGACCTGCCGATAGCTTTCCCCACTTTACAGAAGTCTGGTCTGCATAGAGATGAGAAATTCATGGTAAACTGAAAACACAGTGCTCTGTTTGGTATTTGTTCTACAATTACCAGCTCAAATGATAAATTTTTGATGGATTAATCTATCTCTGGTGATAATCTCTTAGATAACTATACACATAAATTTCTGGAAACCTTAGTTTTGCTTGAGTAAAAAGAATAATGACATATAGTCTCTGAGAATTGCTTGATTAATTAACTAAAGATAAAAAGTCACTGGGTTCTGGAAAGATACTGTAATCCCTAAGTGAAATGGTAAGTAGTAGTATGCACATTTACAATTCAAGTAAATGTAGCATCTTCCTTTTTTGTCTTCTCTTTCCCTGTCTCAATATGATGTTGCAGAGAAGGATTTAAGAGCTTCATGAGCTGTCACAACAATTATACTTTAATGAATCTTAGCTCAGGATCTCACTAACTGATGACTGAAACACACTGAATTAAATATGAACCCAATGCCCAATGAGTTGTTTGGCAGCCTCCTATGGGCTGCTTCCTTCACTCTATCCTGTCTCTGAAGAATCGTAACTCTTCTCTGCAAGCTGTAGAGCATCAATAATGCTTGCTTGATATAGCCCAGTAAAGTCTTCCTCATTGAGAAACCAAGTCCCTGATTCAAGGACAAGGTATAAGATGCTGTATTAAACTTTGCAAGGTCACAGACATGTGCCTTAAAAATAAAGTTTTAAATTTTCATGAGTGTTTCTTTTAGTGGAGAGTTATGTTGCACTCTAAAAACAGCTAAGTAGCACTGTTACTCTAGGAGACTCTACTCTGTGGCCTCTCAGCCAATATTATCAAAGTGCTGGCACTGTGGGAGATAGAAGTGACTTCTATAGGATAATAGATTATGCCAATCTAGGTAAATTATTTGTCACAGAGGTGATACCAGTTTGTAAAAATGGAATTTAAATTCTCTTCAAAGT